CATTTTTATTAATGGAGCAAAATGTTGCTTTTCTCTTTTAACAATGAATTCCTCTTATCAGTACAGATGCTCACATCCAGCATAAAAAAGGGCATGCATATTGCATAGCACCAATGACACCAGACCAATAGTGTCCCTACCAAAGTTCAAATCAAACCTACGCCCTTGTACTACAGTAATACTCTCAATATTCAAAACATTTTCATTTTTTCATAGATTAACAATTACTTGACAACAAAAACATTGTGGTTATTTATACACATCAATATACTGACATTAAAGATGATAAGTACAACATTCATGCACTTTTCAGAACTAGATTTTGTGTTATATGAGGTAAAGAGAAAATGCAAGTCGGTCTTCAGTTAAATAATAGATAAAAAGCTAATAAAAACTTAGTAAATAAACAGTTTTTGTAGATATTAGTAATTGTAAATATCAATTTTATGCAGAATGATTATGGATAAACATAGGTAAGTAGGTAAGTGACAATGGAAAAGATGTTTGACCCAGAACTCAAACCTGAAAGAACTTATCCACTATACCTTTTATGTAGATGGATGTTTAAATACTGTATATGCGTCTATTTGTTAGCAAAGGCTTTAGGAAAGTATAGTTTGTCTTTATTTGGAAAATATGGATGTTGTTGTTGTTCATTTTCCTGTTGGATCAGAATAGATTGACCCTTAGTTTATGGTGCCGATCCGCTTTCGGCCACCCTTCAGAATACATTGGTTATTGCCTGGCCAAAAATGTTCTGGCTATGTCTCTGGTACTTTCTATATGAAAAAGATATTAAGGGTGCAAACTTATATTTACAATTGTGATGTAAGGTTTGTTTGTTTTTTGGAATGTGCCTTACTCTTACATAAACCTTGATAAACACAACAATTTTTGTTTTATAATTGAATACGCTAAACCAATGTGCTCCTGCACTTAGTCTATATGTCTATGTGCTTTATACCAGAAAATAATATTTTACGTTCCACAACAGACTGGAGACATAAAAAGGCTCATTTTGATTACGTTATAAAATCATTAACTTTGGCATTCTCCATGTGGCTAAATGTATGAAAATAAAGAATTACCTGCTATTTAATGCGCCTTTAAGGGTCAGGACCTGCCAACGGGCCAATGCATTATTCATAACTAAATGTTTATGTCTAATGAGCATTTAATGATTATTCTGCCTCAGAGCTTTCAGTTTCTGAGCCAACTTTTTTCAAACTGAAATCGTAAAAGGCCCTCAGGAAAGGATTCATTGGAATTACTCCCACTATCAAATTATATTAATTAATCAAAGGGCATTGGATGAGCAATGAATACTTGTTTTTGTTCTGTGAAATAACTAAAACATATTATTTAATATAATTCGTATATGCTAACTGTATTGTCTGAGGTAGTTTGTGACTAAAGCTATGCAGAGTGCAAAAACACAAAGTGACCAAATGTGACAACCTATATTTACATTAAACAACTTTCCATCAGAGTAGACTTTCTCTACTTGTACTAAATAGTCAAGTTAAAAGGGTTTTTCCTTTGTTTCGTTAACAATCACAACACTTTTAACATGGTAATCATGCTGAGGAAGATAGAATTTCTATTTTTTATTCTGCTTGTATTTCAAATGGAATCACACTTCATGGACAACGCAACTGCATACTTAAAAAAAAATACAAATTCACAGCCTCATTCTCTATGGATTCTACTGAGCCAAAACATGACAAGAATTTAACACATTTGTGTAATAATGTCATCAAATTTGGTTTAGGGCCCTGTATAGTGTTAGACTGTCTGTGTCTAGAAGCATTACAACGTTCACTTTAGTTTTTCACAGTTAAATCTTATGACATACAATAGGGCTGATAAT